AATGTGACAATGTGTTAGGTGTGACAGTGTAATAAATGTGACAATGTGTTAGGTGTGACATTGTGTTAGATATGACAGTGTGTTAGGTGTGACAGTGAATTAGCAACAGCAATGTGTTGATTGCAACACAACACTTTGGCTATGTGAAATCAATGAAATGCCTGCAAATTGTAATCTAATTAAACTGACTGTCTGATCACCAAATTCCCAAGTCAGACACAGTAAGGAGATTATGAAAATAGGCTGACTGTTTAAGATAAAGAAAGCCAAGACCAATGCAGATACTGCTTCTTGGCTTACTTTTTCAAATATGATAAACATCCTCTCCAATCTCACAACCTTTGAAAGAAAAAAGTTTTCCTTTCCTGTTTGTCTTATTGCTATGTATCTCACCTTTTTGCACTTAAAAGGTCAATATTAACAACTGTTACAATAACGAGATAATCACTGTTGTACCTCTTTGTACAGCGTAGTCATGGATCCCTTTAGTTCTTCTCGGAGTTCTATCAGCTGGCGTTTCTCCTGGTCCTGGCGCTGTTTGATGGCGCCAAGTGTCGTCACAAGCTCCAAAATGTAACTGTTGAAGTGTTCTATCGTCTTTAGACCATCGTGGTAAAAACTGCAGGAAAAAATGTTTCACATCACAGGAGTCAAAATATTACAATTTTTATCTTGTGGGGATGAGCATTTTGTCTCAAATGCAAAGGTCAAGCAGCTAAAAATGTCATGCCTTTTAGGTAAAAACAGTTAACAGTTTTTGTCAACAATTTAAATTTCTTTTGAGGTAATCTTTAACTCATTGTCGTCTGTGCAACATACCACTTCTTTACAGAATTCAAGACAAAAATCTGTGACATTTTACTGATACAAAAGCAACCTCGGTGTTAACATGTGCCAAGTATGAAAATGTGACCACTATTCTAGATCTTCTTATGAGAGCTTTCTCCATTACTTTGTTTGCGCGTGATAAAACTCCACCATGTGTTGCAGGAGATCCACTCCCTTCTTAGTTTTGATTTCATTCACTCTGACCAGATACTGGAAGATAAAGGAAACAATCTAGAATCTGGAAAGTTGAAAATTATCCACATCTATAAAATCATTAAATCATGAAAATGACAAAAGTATTATACACTAGTCCTTTCTTTTTTTTTTTTTTTTACTTATCTGCTTTGATAAGAAATGGTATAGGGAAACAGTCAAAACTTACATCACACATTTGTAATTGAAACATCCGTCTTTCTTTCTCCATTTCCTCTGCAATCTGAAAAATTATACCTTATTAATAAACAAAAAAGATAAAATAATTTTTTCTATTCCTGCATGTCATGTCCCCATAATTTTTTTGCTTTTAATCTATTATGTTTTCCATTAAATGTTTTTTCTACTGACCTTTACACATAAGTGAAATATAAACTTTATTCATTTTCTAAAAATTTTCTTTGTGTGATGATACAATATCAAAACAAGTGACCTTGACATTGGTTGTATCTAACCTTGACCTTACCTCAATGACCTTGACCTTACCTCTGGTCCTGAGATTTCTGCCTTATGGAAGCCTGCTTCCTTGGCAATTTTCTTTCTTTCTTGTTCTATTTTTGTACTGAAATTGAGAAATGCAATACATATCAGTGCAAACCTTATGTGTATGGTTTTGTAAAAAAATATATATATATTTAAAAATTTTTCGAAAGGTATAGAGTTAAAAGTAATAGTCTTTGATAGACATGAACATTTGATTTGAGGAAGTGAAATTTAAAGTCACATATTCAAGATATCTTCTGTTTTAGATGAGATTCTAATTACAACTCTGTGAACCGTATTTTCAGCAATCTCATTTTGTGACGTTTCTCCAGCCACCACCCTCTTACACTGTCACTATTCACTTAGAAATCACCTCCGTTTCCTCAGCACAGGTTTAAACTGCCCCCAAGTTTAAGTCTACAGGAAAACCTGTTAGCCTCGGAATTTGAAATCAAACCCAAATTGTGGTGACAGTTTCTTAGACTGGGTACCCATACCTAGATGGCTCTAACAGGATCGATCGATCTCCGAGAGGTTTCTCGCTAAATTGCTTTCAGCTTAAGCAACTTAGATGTATGGCACGCCTACTGAAGCTGCTAAACCATAATTAATTATCTTCTAACAGCTTCAGTAGGTGTGACAGACATCTAAGCCACTTAAGTTGATTGCAATTTAACAAAAATCCCCTCGGAGATAGATCGATCCACAGTTAGTATGATAGGGTCTGGGAATGGTCCCTTAGAAAAAACCTCCATTTTTTCAGTACAGGTTGAAACTGCACTCAAGTTTAAAAGTCTAGCGGACAATTTTGAGCCAAGGAATTTGAAATAAAACCCAAAGTGTTGTGACAGTTTCTTAAGCAGAACTCTCAAAAGATGGCAGAGAAAACAGGAATAGGAGAACCCTGGTTCTGAGCACCTCATCTCTTCCTGAAAAGTTCTTTAAAAACACTTTCCAAACAGACCAAGCCAAGATCTGAGCAAAGCTACCCAAGCAAGACATACATCAAGAAAGCTTACTAGAAGCATCCCTTCTCTAGAAGCTAAGCTTGCTCTAAGCTAGCGACACTGAAATGTTGTGAACTGTTGAAGTTATACCACTGTAGCAGTAATGGTAGCCGACCTGAACTAACGGTGTTACTAGGACGCATTGTTACGAAAATAAATATATATCAGACTAGTTGACATGGTGATTTCTTTTTTTTTACTTTTTATAACAAGCATACATTTCAAAGGATGATACGGCATGTTAAAAGCATTAATATTTTTCAAAAAGTATTGAGTAAAGATTATTGAAAAATATTTGATCAATTCAGCAAGTAATAATGCACTACCTATGCTATATACTTCATGTAGTGTGGTATAAAAATTATCAAATAAAAATGATTATATCTGAGCAGAAATAACACGAATGGTTTGTTCCAATGCCAGTACTAACAAACGAAAGGAATAACAAATGAACATGGCACCAAATGAAGTAACTGACTCTTTTGTCTGTTTCCTGCAGTACAATTAAAAATAAATAAATAAGACACACATCAGCACCTCATATGAGGGTCAACTTAAAATAAGCTATCACAAATACTCACAATTTGGACTCGTACTCCTTCCACGCTTTGTCAAAGGGCTTTTTGAGATCACCTTTCCCTCCTTTCAACTCGCTCTTCACAAAGGAATCAAGTGGAAACATCACAATATTGTTCAGGTTCTGCATCTGAAATAGTCACAGACTGGTTCAACTTCAACTCTGAATTTTTTTTGTTCTTCTGAAATATCTTTTTTTATAATTTTTTTTTGAAGAAGATTCTTAAATTTTTTCTATTTATAAAAGCAAACTGACTTTATAAAAGTAACTAATATAGTGCAATAAGCTTAATATCTGCCATTGCATTTACCTATTTATTTTCTTGAAGAAACCAGACTTAAATCTTATTTCATATAACTTGCACTTAAATCTAAAGCAACAGGGCTTAAAGGCATAATAACTCTTTGTATGAGACCTATATTTCACAATAAAAACCTTGTGAATAACTAATAGAAATATAATATATTCTGTTTTACCACAAAAACAGAAGTTATAGCTTTTATTCTGATATTTGAACTTGTCTTTAGACCACGCGACCTCCAATGATGTCTATACGTTGTTAAAATCTCTTAAGAGATTTTAACAAAAAACCAAACTTTTTAGAAAAAAACCAGGGACTAACTTTGAATGTAAAAATGGATTCATTAACCATTGGTAAGTATGGGAAAATTGTTGTTTACTCCAGGAAAATTCATTTTTTGGCCGAAATGAAGAGTTTTTATTGCTTTAAATCTCTTTTTCTTTTCACTTTACAAAGTGGAACCTGCAGTTTACAAAATAAACCAACTTCAAACTGTTCTTGACAGTGTTAAACACATATCAAATTACCAAGTTTTTCATGAGTGCTGACAACTCCTTTGTGACGACTGCAAACTTGAGAAAGGCGGCCCCTGGAGGACAGAAAAATAAGACATACAGCACCCGTATGGTTATTATCAGTAACAGAGACTAGTTCCTATGTTTATATTAATAATTTAAAGTACGGCTTTAAACTAAGGCCACATTCAGAACAGTGGACTAACTAGTCCGCAGGTCAAATATGGCCGACCCACTTGAATACTTCCCCACAGGATATCTATTCGGTGTCTATTAGCTGATTAGACAACAAGCTTTTGTAGTGGGTCACCATATCTGACCTATGCACTAGTTAGTCCACTGTTCTGAATGTAGCCTAACTTTATGTTAATTTGGTCAGATCTGTTCCGATGTGGTGAAATTTAAGTTTGATCATTTTCAAGAACTATCAGCATGAAAATTAGCTTTTTTTCCTAAATGAATATATAACGACAAGAGAGTTACAGTGGGCTGAAGGTTGGAATACTGGAAACAAACTTCTGTATTTTATAAATAATTTAAACTCTTTTCAAAAACATGTCCCTTGAACACTGGGAAAAAATCCACAAATGTGTCATACCTATTTCTTGTTCCTGTTCTTTATTCAAGGCATTCCATCCCAGCTTCTCCAGGTTTTCTGCCATATAAAGTTCATTGGCTACGTGCACTGAAATATGGAAATCCAAGTATCTCTCATATATATTTTTTTCTTTTTCTTTTTGTAATAATGTTATTTTGTTTTTGTAATTGTAAACAGTTCTATCCTGTGCAAAGTTTATACACAGAGATTTAACATCCAAATGCAGTTAAATATTATTTAAAAAAAAAATTATTCTCACTTTTGTTTTTTTTCTCTTATTTTTAATATTATTTCATAGACTATACAACTAATTATTTGGCAGAAGCAATGTGATGCACACTGGACATAGCTGTAGTATTTTGAAATAAACATTTGTTTACACCACGGCCTGCAGACCATTTTGTAGGAAGTCACTGATATATGATAACCCAACCCAGTCATCAATGCCCCTATGATCTTTTTTAATAGACGAGATTAGCATTTGGATAAAATATCAGAAGGGTCATTCCACAAAATTATTTCAGCCCCATCATGATGTTTTGACATTGCTTCTACTGTAAATTTGTGTCCAATAGAGGGTATTGTATTGAATAAAGAAGAGAAAATAATTTGACCAGTCAAAATTATGCAAATGTTACACAATGTAGTGTGTGTGTGTGGGTGTGTGTGTGTGTGTGTGTGTGGAATAACCATGGGAAAAATGGAACTTCAAATTAGGCAACTTCACAAAACTAAACCATGAAAAGAAAATAAAGAATGGATTCTACGAAATATATATATTTATTGTTACATGAATTGAATGATGCAGACAAGTTTAGTTTACTTACGGTTTCCAGAATTATAAATGGCTTTAATTGACTTCTTCATCTTTATTAGTCCACTCCGGTCAAAATCCAAAGTCTGAAAATAAAAATTTCTACCTTATTACCCTGACTGACTTATATAATTCTTCCACTTTTTAAAATGCATATCTGGGCAACAACGGATGATGAAAAAAAGTTTGATACAAGTACATTTTTCTGATTAAAAGAAAAAGGTTTGAGTTGTATCAAATGTCAATGCAGCTTGTAAAAATCTTCATGAAAGTGTGACAAGGGCCTGGAATGTTGTGCTTAACATTTATAATTCTCTCTATCTTATGATCATTCTTACTTACTTGTATGTATCGCCCATTTATCTTCTAAGCCAGACACACAAAAAAATTCTTTCCAATCATTTTAATATTCCACCATGTATTTTTTAACAAAGAAAAACAGTGCTATGATTCTCCACCACAAAAACACTTCCATCATTTTTATTAGTCATCCACTATACCAGTCTCAACTATAACACCCTAGTGCCCTTGCTCAGGATAACAATGATGAGGATATTTTCCAATCAATTCTAACATCTATCCTCATTCCGGGGCCATGAAGTTTGACAACAGATCTGCCACGTCCTAATAACTCCTGAATTACGCTTTCTTATCACCCTGTAAAAAGTCTCCCTTAAAGATATGAACTCATGAGGCAAAAGTCATACCAGAGTAAGTCAAGTATTTCCCAAGACAAATTCTGAATTTGTAATCAAATCAATTAATGATTTTAGAAAATGGTCCCACATCAAAATAGGTCCTCAGTGAAAGTGGATTTCAAAATTTGGCAAAATAAAACTTGACCGTAAGCACTGGTTGGGTTAGACAGCCCTGCCTGTGGATGATAAGTGTAAAGATGGCCCTGGTTATGGATGATGGTGATGATAAAATAAAGATGGCTGGTCTTATCAGTAAAGTGCACTGGGAGCAGACAAACCATATAATTTAATAGTGAACACACACTAGCTCTCTCCATGGTCAATATATATGTAGACAGATTATACAGCAAATGACGAAATTTTTATGGTAACCTACAAACCTCAAAAAATCTCAATTTCTTTGTAAGTGATTTATAGCAGTTTACACATTGGATCTGGATCTGTAGGAAATTTATTACAGTTTACACTTTGGATCTGGATCTGTAGGAAATTAATTACAGTTTACACTTTGGATCTGGATCTGTAGGAAATTTATTACAGTTTACACTTTGGATCTTGAATTGCAAACAAAAAGAGACACTTTATATGGCATTTTTGTGGTCTTCTCTTGTTTATCTCAGACAGCATATTACTAGTACTCAGATTTCCTCTATAAACAATGACTATTAATACTTCTTCAAAAAAATTGCAGCTTGTTACCAACTATCAAGCAAAGTTACTAGCACCAACTACATTTTCCAGCCTTTTTTTGCCTGGATCATCTTTCAACCCAGAGATTATTTAATACACCCATTGCCTGGGGTCCATCTTCTTCAGTACGGTAATAACTATCTTATCCTGCAGGCAGACGTGTTGTGTGCTCTCTTTGTCTTAAACACTGTTATAACAGATAACCCAATTTGAACCAGTTAAGGGAAAGAGAACACCCAGAAATACGGAAGAGCCCACTGTTATCAGTTAAAAAACCTTATCATTAATTGTGGCAAGGAAATTGGGAAGATTGACAACGACTGGGTTCCAATACCTAGATCGATTTAACAGGATCAATCCATCTCCAAGGGTTTCTTGGCTAAATAGCTTATGGATCCATCTCCCAAGTGTTTTTTTTTTTTTCGCTAAAATGCTTTCAGGTTAAATGGCTAAGATGTCTGACAGCCCTACTATAACAACAATTAATTACCTCCTAGCAGCTTCAGTAGGCTTAAGTTGATTGCAATTTAGCAAGAATCTCCTAGGAGATAGATCGATCCACAGTAAGTACCACAGGGTCTGGGAATGGTCCCTAGTAGAGCCCGAGACTAGTGGAAGAGTCTCGTTATCAGTTCAGCTAGTTAATCTATAATTTTGGCAAGGCTCTATGGAGATGGATCTCTCTCTCCTGAGCAGGATTTGTTACGAACACCATACGCCAACAATCAATACAGAGCACTTACGGTTTCCCCAAGAGGATATCAACTGAGGATTTCAGAGTTCTCCAGCACCTTTAAGCTTACAAGTGCTGTCTTGGTTTAATAGCAGATCTCAGACTATCATCGTGAAATGTTGGTCATGAATCAGCCTTCAACAGGGATTTTGACAGCGTAACATACTGCTGCAGCAGTGATTTGATATTTTTATTGTACTTGTTTTTTTAATTATTATTATACTTGTTTTATATTAATTGTGATGTAACTACCCAAAATCTTTCTAAAACCAATCATATTTCTGTGATCTGATCACAGCTCCTTTTTCACCATGACCAAAACATCACCTTCTACTAGTAATTATTTTGAAACAAAACATATAAAGACAGACACCAAAAATTGCTAAAACAGGAAATAACTCAAAAGATTTTTCTTTGGCTACAATTTCTCTTTGCAGATTTTAAAGTTTTACTCAAAATTCAAGTTTTGTCCAGGACAAATTTCTGCTTGAA